CAGAGAACAGCAGAGATAAACTGTCCAGAGGTGAGGTGTTCCCCAGCGGAGTACTTCCTCAAAAAGGATCCACTTTCTGTTCCACAAAAAGGATAATGTACCTGGGGTGCTGGTGGCTCACGCCTGTAATCTTAGCTACTTGGGATCATGGTTTGAAGCCAGCCTGGGGAAATAGTTCTAGAGACCTTATCTTGAAAATACCCAACACAAAACAGGATGGGTGGAGTGACTCAAGTAGTAGAGCGCCTGCCTAGCAAGTGTAATGCCCTGATTTTAAACCTCAGTGCCACCAAGGGAAAAAAAAAAAAAAAAGGCACAGCGTTTGCCTGAACCCCAGGAAGGAGGACATTGAAGTTCCCATGGGTGTAAGCAGAATATGAGGCAAATGGATGATCCTCCCATGGACTTGGCATGAGAATTTGATTGTTGAAAAAGAATTCATTGTGAATCAACAAACTATAGTTGCATGCATCCATGGAGTACTAAGTAAGGTTATGATACAATTTAGCATGGTGAAATCAAGCTAATTAGCCTATCCATCACCTCAAATACTTTCTTCATGGTGAGAACATTTGAAATTTACTCTCTTAGCAATTTTGAAACATACAGTGCATTCTTATTAACTATAGTCACTACACTGGGCAATAGATCTCAAAACACTCACTTTTAAAATATTTATTTATTTATTTTTGAGGCAGGGATTCACTATGGTAGCCCAGGCTGGCCTCAAACTCTTCATCTGCCTCCCTCAGTCTCCCAAGTGCTGGGATTATAGATCTGCACACTAATCCAGCCAAAACACTTACTTCTATCTAACCGATTCTTTGTCTCCTTTGACCAACAATTCCTGTTTCTTCCAAGACCTGAGAATTTGGTTGTTAATAGCCAAGAAGAGGCTGTGAAGGAGAGTGTACCAAAATATAAGCATGTCTTAAAACACCTTCTGTCACCAGTACTTCGTGTTTCTTTTCCTTGTCTTGGTTTTACAGTTTTTGTCCTTTCTTTATGGATGGGCAGTACAGTACAGTGAATTGTTATTTATATTTTTTGTTGTAAACGTCTCGTCTCTGACCCCTCTCTGCACACAGCTAAGACTCTCTGGCATTGGGAGAAGAGAGAGCAGTCTGGTTACAGATCTCAGGTGACTTTGTTGACTTCCGCTGTGTGCTGGGGACAGGGGAAGGCAGTGTGACTTCTCAAGCTCCTTCCACAGAAGTATGAAACCTACAACGGTGCATTTAGGGGAAGTCCTCATCCACATGAAGCTTTCCCTGATATCTGGCGTCCATCGCCTCCTCGCCCTCCACAACCCACACCTTAACCTCACATAATAAGCAACGAGGAAGTTCCTTCCAGACGGGAGAACCCAGTCAGTGAATGAGGCCCTGCCCTAATTAGGAGATATTTGTCTTTGGGGTTTCATTCAGTGACCATTTACCCTGAGGGCCTGTGACATCTTGTGCTGTATGCTGTCTCTGACATCCTGACATCAAATGTGCTGCTTAAATCAGAAATTCTGAACTGATAGCCCAGGGACCGAATCAATCCTGCACATATTTTTGTTGTCGTTTACTAAAAAACAGGAATCATTCATTAGAATAAAAAATTGTGAAGTTTCCCACTACTACTCAGGTCCCCTGTTCCTTTGGAAAGCTGGGGGCACTGGCACCAGGCAAGCAGTGTTCCCACTCATAGAAGCCCCCTGATCTGAGTGGAGGGGCCTCCTTCCTGTGCCCCATCTGTCCCACAGGGTTTGGGAACATGGGCACTCCAGAAATGCTCAGGACTCATTGGGAAAAGACAAAGGGTCAGGCCCCGCCATCAAACTGTGGCAGGTGGCAGAATAATGTACTGAAATAAAATTTTTATTTGTTTCTTTGCACATTTAAATTGTAAGCAGGTCAGCAGACTTTATTCCCCCTTCTTCCTAACAGAACTGAGTTATTGTGGAGTTCTAAGGGCTCCAGCTACACACCACCATTCTCTTCAGACTTCCTTGCAGACAGAAGTGACAGTGGGAGGGAAATACAGCCTGATTCAATAAGACACATGGCATTTCCTCTCTGATCCTTCCTATTTTCTGCAGTCTGGTGCACAACTGTGACGGCTGGAACTGCAGTACTCATCTTGTGACTATGAGGAAATCTTGACTAAGGACACTATACACTTTGGATAGTGGGTAGAAAGAAGGCAGAAGGAGCCTGGGTCCCTGATGACCTTGGAGTTCTCAATCTAGCCCTGGGCTGAACGCTTCCCTTTTATGTGAGAAAAAGTAAACATCTTCGTAGTTTAAGCCACTGTTATTGGGGTTTGTCTTGCAGCCTAATCTCTGTATGTCAGAGAATGTGTCATTTGAAGCATATGCAGAAAGTAGGCAGACAAATTGGGTTGCAAGGAGGGGCCAGAGGGAGGGTTTCAGGGCCAAGAGAATGGGTTCTAGGCAGAGGAAGAGAATCTACATGTTTAATGCAATTCCCATCAAAATTCCAATGACATTCATTAAAGAGATTGAAAAATCTACTGTTAAATTTATATGGAAACACAAGAGGCCACGAATAGCCAAGGCAATACTCAGTCAAAAGAACAATGCAGGAGGTATCACAATACCTGACTTCAAACTATATTACAAAGCAATAACAATAAAAACAGCATGGTACTGGCACAAAAACAGACATGAAGACCAGTGGAACAGAATAGAGGACCCAGATATGAAGCCACACAACTATAAGCAACCTACCTTTGAGAAAGGAGCTAAAAATATACGATGGAGAAATAGCAGCCTCTTCAACAAAAACTGCTGGGAAAACTGGTTAGCAGTCTGCAAAAAACTGAAACTAGATCCATGTATATCACCCTATACCAATATTAAGTCAAAATGGATCAAGGATCTTAATATCAGACCCCAAACTCTTAAGTTGATACAAGAAAGAGTAGGAAATACTCTGGAGTTTGTAGGTATAGGTAAGAACTTTCTCAATGAAACCCCAGCAGCACAGCAACTAAGAGATAGCATAGATAAATGGGACCTCATAAAACTAAAAAGCTTCTGTTCATCAAAAGAAATGGTCTCTAAACTGAAGAGAACACCCACAGAGTGGGAGAAAATATTTGCCAACTATACATCAGACAAAGGACTGATAACCAAAATATACAGGGAACTTAAAAAACTAAATTCTCCCAAAACTAATGAACCAATAAACAAATGGGCAAGTTAGCTAAACAGAACTTTCTCAAAAGAAGAAATTCAAATGGCCAGAAAACACATGAAAAAATGCTCACCATCTCTAGCAATAAAGGAAATGCAAATTAAAACCACGCTAAGATTCCACCTCACTCCTGTTAGAACAGCCATCATCAGCAACACCACCAACAACAGGTGTTGGCGAGGATGCGGGGAAAAAGGAACCCTCTTACACTGTTGGTGGGAATGTAAACTAGTACAACCACTCTGGAAGAAAATTTGGAGGCTACTTAAAAAGCTGGACATCGATCTACCATTTGATCCAGCAATACCACTCTTGGGGATATACCCAAAAGACTGTGACACAGGTTACTCCAGAGGCACCTGCACACCCATGTTTATTGCGGCGCTATTCACAATAGCCAAGTTATGGAAACAGCCAAGATGCCCCAGCACTGACGAATGGATTAAGAAAATGTGGTATCTATACACAATGGAATTGTATGCAGCCATGAAGAAGAACGAAATGTTATCATTCGCTGGTAAATGGATGGAATTGGAGAACATCATTCTGAGTGAGGTTAGCCTGGCCCAAAAGACCAAAAATCGTATGTTCTCCCTCGTATGTGGACATTAGATCAAGGGCAAACACAACAAGGGGATTGGACTATGAGCACATGATAAAAGCGAGAGCACACAAGGGAGGGGTGAGGATAGGTAAGACATCTAAAAAACTAGCTAGCATTTGTTGCCCTTAATGCAGAGAAACTAAAGCAGATACCTTAAAGCAACTGAGGCCAATAGGAAAAGGGGAACAGGTACTAGAGAAAAGGTTAGATCAAAAAGAATTAACCTAGAAGGTAACACCCACGCACAGGAAATCAATGTGAGTCAATGCCCTGTATAGCTATCCTTATCTCAACCAGCAAAACCCCTTGTTCCTTCCTATTATTGCTTATACTCTCTCTACAACAAAATTAGAGATAAGGGCAAAATAGTTTCTGCTGGGTATTGAGGGGGGGAGCGGGAGGGGGTGGAGTGGGTGGTAAGGGAGGGGGTGGGGGCAGGGGGGAGAAATGAACCAAGCCTTGTATGCACATATGAATAATAAAAGAAAAATGAAAAAAAAAAAATAAATAAAGGTGAGGAGGAAAGAGACAACATAGCTGCGGTGTCTGCGGTCAGCAGGGAAGGGGTGGGAGGAGATGCAGCCTAAGGTAGGAGCAGGACTTGGACCATGAAGTCCCCATAGTTGTGTAAAGGGTTAGATGTGACTCAGAGATAAGGGGAGCTAGATGGAGTGGTGAAGATTGCACTTTGGGGAGATCCCCTGGTGCTGAGAGGGAGGGACCTGATCTAAGGGAGGAGAGTGGAGTTTGGGAGACCCCACAGGCAGGAGGCTGATGCTGTGTGGGCTCACAAGGATTGGCCAGTGACTAGAGGATTGGAAAGCAACAGAGGACTGAGACTTTAAAGGGAGAATCCTTAAGAGTTGGTGGTGGTTGAACAGGGGAGAGAGGAGGAGGAGTTGAGGGTGAGGAACATAGGCTGAGATAGGAACCCGAGGCGGACCGGGCTGGAGAGGCAAGGAGGTTCCCAGTTGGTGACTGAGGCTGAGGAGGAGGTGTCAGTAAGTAAGCCAAGGCCAGAGTAGAGGCCAGTGAAGGCCGTGGAGGGAGCTCTGGCCCCTGACTCAGATCCCCTGGTCAACCACAATCCCGTCTGGGCCCTTTCAGAAAGTCCCTGCTTCTTTAATTCACTTCTCAACCCACACGGGGGCTAGCTGGCCGCTAATGGAGGTGAAAGTCCCTGATGCTCAATGAATGCTAATGAACCCGCAGCGCGCTCCACCTGTCCCCTTATACCTTTGCCCTGCCGGTGTTCGAGTCGGAGGTTTCTCTCATCTGTCGAGAGTCTGGGGGCCAAGTCACAGCCCCCACATCTCTCCTCTGGCCCAGGGCAGCGTTATCGCGGTAAACTTGAACGGATGACAGCAGGAGCTGGGGAGGTGGAGTCAAGTTACCCATCGCCCAGCAAAAGACCGCGCTCCTCGCTCTGCAGCATCTGGCCTCGCGCCGAGGGAGCTGGTGGCGGGCCTGGGGACCCAGCCTGTCCCCGCCTGCCTCGGCGCCTCATCCCTCCCCGCCACCCCCCTCTCCGCCCCGGTGTCGGGTCCCCGCGCTCCTCCCCCGCGCCCGGCTCTGCGCTCAGGCTGCGGCTGGCCCGGGGCAGGCGCGGCGCGCAAGGTGGCGGCGGGGACCCCGTGCAGCGGCTCCGGTGCGGGGAGAGGGGCTCAGCCTCAGCCGGGCCTGCGATCGCCGCGGCCCTCGCTCACCCAGCCGGTCTGGGGGGCCCTCAGGGCGCGCGGAGCGCCGAGTGCGCGTGGGGCTGGGCCCCGCACCCCGGCGCAGGAGCGCGGGCGCGCGCGGCGGAGCGCGGGCCATGGAGCCGGCCCGGGAGCCGATCCGGGAGCCCCCTGCGCGGGCCCGGCCACCGCCGCCCCTGCCGCGCGCCCCGCGCCTGCGCCCGCTGCGCCCAGGCCGCGATCGCCCGCGGAGGCTGAGGGCCGCGGCCCCGAGGGGCTGCTGCGGCGATCGGGGTCGGGCTACGAGGGCAGCACCAGCTGGAAGGCGGCCTTGGAGGGTAAGCGCGGAACCCCCATTCCCCAGGACCGGGGATCCGCGACCCAGGAGTCACCCAAGGTGACTCTACCCTCTCTCGCCGAGGGGAGGGCAGGGAGCGCAGCCGAGACCCGGAGTACTCATTCATTTTAGGGCAGGCAGATGTCACTTCGTGACGGGGAGTGGGGTAAGTGGGGCCCACCTCTAGTCCCAGCCTTGAGCCCACCTCTGCTGCAACTCACTCTTTGACCTTGGAAGCAAGATTTCAGCTCCGAGCCTTAGTTTGCTCCTACGAAAAGGGTCAGTTTCAGTCCTGCAAGCACCTGACCCGCATGTTGAGCTGGTGGCCTGAATCTGTAGCAGTGAAAATGCTTTGGGCAGCGTAACAAAAGCCACAGAGCTGAGAAGTGGTGCAGGCATCTTGGTTGCAGGGGTGCGCTGGTGGTGAGTGAGAATTCCTGGGAGCTCTTCTTTGCAAGGTCAGACTGGCTCAGAAAGAGACCCCTGGCCGGCCAGGAGACAGTAACGAAAGTGGGACACGGATTTCAAGTTCATGAGCTTTTTTAGGAAACTGTGTTGGCTGCCAGTGAGTGGCTACTGTGTGGGAGGTGCTGGATTGGCAAGAGAGAGGGACTTCTCAGGACACTCAGGGTGCAAGGGCCTGGGAGGACCTGGGCAGCATTAACTAGGGAGGGGGTGTCAGAGAAGGAGGGCTTCCTTTTCTTAAAGGACCTCTTAGGGGTGCACAGCAAACAGGGAAGTATGCACAGACCCAAGGAGCAATGCGTTCGAGGGTCCGGTGACTGGAGCTAGCCTGTCCCATGTAGGGATACCGGTATGGAGGCTGGCTGGGGAGAGAGGAATCATGACTAGACATGAAGGGCTGGCCAGACTGTGCAAAGGAGTTCTGACCTTCGTTTGAAGAGCTGCTAAGGCATTGAGACTGTGAGTTTGCCCTTGGAAGACCACCGATGGCCCAGAGGATGGGACCAAGGCTCCAGGTCAGCAAGAAGTGTCTGGCTAGCACTATGCCCAGGCAGGTCCCAACCTTCTACAGGACAGGGAGGATGTTTAGCTGGAAGGTTGTGCATCAGGGCACATGCACTGACTACAGAGGGCTGTGCAGACTTGGGGGGTGGCACTGAATAGTGTGTAGGGACAAGGAGGCAAAGGCAAGTGGCAGGGCATTACAGGAGGGTTCTGGGTTGAGAAACAGTAGGTGGAATGAAGGCCAGCAAAGTTGTCTCTGATGTGCATCTGTCTTTGCCCTGCAGCCCAAGCTTATTTCTTGACATTGCCCCCTTGTCTCAGCTGGATTTCTTCATTCATTCTTTTGTAACTAGTTCTGAAGGGTCTGCCCCATTACATCTTCACTGTAACCCCACTGGGTGAGGCTACTTCAGGATGATGTGAATTCTGAATGCCTCCTGCTGAGTAGTTCAGTTTCACCTTCCACCTCAACATTGGCCCCTTGGGCTTTTTGTTGCTTTTTCAGGGAAAGAGAGGCAACACACTGGGCAGAAAAATGGCTCTCTCTGGCCATTGGGTCCATCCCCCCTACCCCCTCTTTGCCACAGCTGACCTTGAACTCTCCATCCTACTGGCTCCGCCTCCCAAGTGCATCACTACTCCAGGCTTCACTCATTCTTTGTACAACCGAGGCCCTGGGCACATCCCTGCTTTCACAGAGATCACAGGACAGGGGCTGAGTCAGCCTGGTGAGGTGCAAAGACCACAGTGTCTGGTAAACTTGAGCTAGACCCTTCTACCTCTGGGGGCTGGCAGGCTTCCACTTCATAGGCCTTAATTTCCTCATCCACAGTCAGGTCGTGATTTTTACCTCTCAGGGACACACAGATAAAGGCCAGGAGTGTAGGTTCTGTTGTGGTGGCCCCTTTCTCCAGCTTCCTGGATATGGCACCTTGGCTCCTGGGTGGCTGAGTCCAGGGACCAAGGGCAATCATCTACTCAGTTGAAGTCCTTTGATACTGGTCTGCTGCCCTTGAGTCCACTCACCTCCGCAAACGGGAGTCCAACTAGTGACACACTGTTGATGGCATGAGGGACCTACTGTTTCTGGGGACCTCAGGGTTTTACAGCTTAGCTTTGCTCTGTCTTTAGAGAAAGGAGAGATGTCTTGTCTTGACTAACCTGAGCCTTATCACTACACCCAACAGTGGATCCTGGATGAGTGCTCACCTCAGCTATCCCGTTTAACCCTTGCCTCACAGCACTGTCGTTTGTGTAGGCAAGGACACCTAGAGTCTAGTGTCTGGCCCAAGGACACATTGTGGCTACGATGGCATGAGGTCCTTGTGGGGTTAGCCGCGGGGCTCTCTGATGTAAAAGCTCTTCTGCTGTCCTGTGTGAGCAAGGAGATCAGGCTCAGGAGGCTAACTGGAGATAACTGGACTGCACTTCCTGTGCACGCAACTCTCTTGCTCCCCAGGCAAGATGCCACCTCCAGGGCAGGCAGCTCTTCCCTCCGCACAGGTTGAACTGGGTAGGAGAGCTTCTTCAGTAAGAAAGCTGAGGTCAGAGTTTGGGGCTGGTAGACTTTCCTAGGATGAACAATTGACTTTTTAAATAGAGAGTCAGACAGAAGTTTCATGGTCAAGTCTCCTCTACCTATGGGAGAAGACTCAGGAGGGCTGGAAAAGGTGACCCAGAGCTCCTGCCGAGTTCTGGAAATGCTGGAGGTGATTCAAGAGGCAGATATTTCTGGCACTGGGGGTGGGAGTGGGACAAAGTGGCCCTGGGTAAGGGAGAGGGGACACAATGATTCTGCATAACTCAGGCTATAGATTTCTCAGTGGTTACCAATTCTGAATTTTTAATGTTGAAAGTTGCTTGAGGAGGCAGAAACCCACAACTTCCTGATCAAAACCACACACATGCATTTAGCAAAAGCTTCTTAAAAATTAAAAAATTACCAATCTCTGCATTTGATTGTTTTTGATAGTCAAGATTTTGCTGGGCAGGCAGTGGGGCCTCTGACTTAGATGTCAGCCAGGGGGCCATTTGGGGACGTGAGTGTGAGGGTGATAAGACATTTGTCTGGTCTTAGGAGTCAGATTGTTTTTCAATTGTTCTTTCTAATGTTAGGCTAACCTCTGGCTAATATGGGCCATTGCCTGGGAGAATGATATTTTCCTCATGGTACTGGGGTTTGAAGGCAGGGCCTACACCTTGAGCCTCTCCATCACTTTCCTCCCTTTTATTTTGTGATGGGTTTTTTTGAGATAGGGTCTCACAAACTATTTGCCCAGGCTGGCTTTGAACCATGTGAGCCACTGGTGCCCAGTGAGAATGATTACTGAACTAGACACTTGCTACAAGTTAAATTGGGTCCACATCAAAAGAGCTCCACTGAAGTCCTAATCCTTCAGAATGTGACCTTGGATGGAGATGTCCTGGTAGATGTAATTCCTTAACATTCAGGTTGGATGGGCCCTAATCTAATATCAATTGGTGTCCTTTGTAGAAGACGAGACACCCTAAAAGGGCATGTGACAATGAAGGCCAAGAACAGAGTGATAGAACTACAAGCCAAAGAATGCCAGGGATTTTCGTCAAACTACCAGGAGCTAGGATGAAGCAAGGAAGGACTCCTTCTGGGCTTCAGAGGCCCTACCACACCTCCATTTTGGACTTCTGTTTTTCAAAAGTGTGAGAAGATACATTTCTGTTGTTGAAGTCACTCTGTTGGTGGCACTTTGCTATGGCAACCCTAGGAAACCAGTGCCATATTGATTTGGATCGTCCATTCCTACAACTGTCCTCCAGGAGGCCAGACAGTGTGTCCTTCCTCCATCCACAGTGCAGAATCTAGAGAGATAATCCCTGTGACAGAAGGAAGAGTCGTTTCAATGCTGGTGATGTTGGAGACACACCAACTGAGTTCCTACAAACTCAGTTGACTTTAAGGAATGTCATTCAGTGTAGCTAAAGTCTACTCATGGTTTTGAGCCCAATTGTGTGTCCTGTAACATGCAAGGCAATGACTGAGTCCTATTTTAGGGACTTCAAAGAACTCCAGCACAGGCTTTACCCCAAGGGAGCCCAGGGATGGTCATTGTCATCACCATCATCATGGCAATTGCTCACAGGTACATGGAGCTTACCATGCTGGGCACAGTTCTAAGCACTGTTCAGTGTCCTTCAGTGTCCACAGGGAGTTGGTTCCAGGATGTCCCTTCCACCAAAATCCAAGGATGTGCAAGTCCCGTATGTAAAATGGTGTGGCATTTGCACATCTTCCCATATGCTTTAAATCATCTCTAGGTGATTTAACAGTACCTGATACAGTGTAAATGCAAATCATCATTATATTGTATCATTCAAGAAATAATAACAAGAAACCGAACTCTGTACATGGTCAGTATAGGTGCAGTTGGTCGAGTGTGCAGACGTGGAACCCACGGATATGAAGGCTGCCTGTACACTGAATTTCCATAAAAATCTAAGAGGTGGATACTATCACGACCTCATTTCAAAGATGAGGAAAGTGGAGCAAAATAGAGATGAAGTGATTTTGCCATGTGTTCACATTTAGAAAGGGACAGAGCAGGGATGTGAACCCAGGCAAATCATCCTGAGTGTACCAGGGGTTCCAGTAGAGAAGAAGACGGCTTGTGTGTAAAGAAGGGAGACGACAGACACACATGGTGTGCTCACCACTGTAGCATCGTGTAGCTCCAGGGGACATGGCCTATGATGAATCTACACCAAGGACAGCAAAGCAGAGACAGAAAAAGCCCCCTCCTCTAAGGCAAGCTTGAGCCTCTGCTCTCATCCTGTCTGAGGCCACCCACCCAGACTCCTGGTGGAGTGCGGTGTAGACTCCCAGTGCAGTCCGGTATAGACCTTACTCAGAGAGAAGATTCCAAAATGTTTTTATCCTCGTGGGTCAAGATGGCTGACTGAACACATGCATTCATTGTCTTTCCCTTCACAAGCCCATTAATACACCAGCAAAGGGATGTTTTAAAGCCCACGAGCACAGCTAGAACTGAAGAAAAGATAAGGGCAGCACAATTAGGGGCTCAGGAGCAAATGGAGGAGTGGTACCTGACTTCACTCCACCTGAGAAAGTCCAGAACACTGATGAGTCACATGTGAGGACCCTGAGGCTCAGGGGGTGGGGACAGTGAAGGAAGATGAAAAAATGGGAGTAGTAGCAGCAAATTTCTTTCAGAGGGATTTAGATCCCTGCCCTAAGCAGCCTCTCCCTGTCTCTGGTATGAACCCGAGGTGAAATCTCTCAAGAGCAAGGACCTGCCTCTATATTCCGGCACATCAAGAGGAAGCCACAGAGTCCACCTGTCATACGGAGTGTGGAGGACAACCTCCCAGCCTTCTTGGGAAGAGCCCTAGCCAGGCCTATACTCTCCCAGAGTCAAAACAGAAGAGCCCTCTCCAAGGACTCCAGTCTACTAAGAGGAAAAAAAAAAAAAAAACCCTATGAGCTCAACAGTAAGAGCCCCAGGATCATCCTGGCCACGTCCCTGGGCTGTGTCCTCCACAGTGACAAGCCCATCCATGGACTCAGAGGCTCCGACAAACTCTTCAGTCCTCCAGCCTTAATTAGAACAACTAACCAAGGATGCCCAGATATCTAAGGAAATCACAAATGAACAGGGAAGTAGATGCAGGGAGAAGTACACTTTCTGCCTACTTTTCTACCCCCCTCTAAAAAGAACTATCAGTAATATTTTCAGAGAAAAGAGCTAAGAGAAAATATTGCATCTTTAAATAGGATGCTGGCTGGGCACTGGTGACTCACGTCTGTAATCCTAGCTGCTCAGGAGGCAGAGATCAGGAGGATCACGGTTCAAAGCCAGCTTGGGCAAATAGCTCTCGAGACCCTATCTCGAAAAAACCCATCACAAAAAGGGGCTGGTAGAGTGGTTCAAGGTGGAGGCCCTGAGTTCAAGACCCAGTATCAAAAAAAAAAAAAAAAGAAAAAAGAATAGTATGCTATAAGAAGGGGTAGTAGTGATAATACAGCTGCAACAAACCTGAGAATCCTTGGGAATGAATAACAATTGCAGAAACAAAAACACTCAGAAGGGCGGGAAGATAAAGCTGAGACAATCTCCTGGAAAATGCAGCAAAAAGTTAAAGAGATAGTGAATAAGAGAACAGAAGATGGGAAATTTGAAGGACCAACCAAAAAGAACCAATAACCTTCCAAAAGAAAACAGAAAGTGGGAGAGGAAATCATCGATGATATAATTAAAGAAAACCTCATGGAACCAAGGGATATGAATTTCCAAGTTGAAGAAGTCTGCTGAATGACTACTAGAGTATATAAAAGTAAACCTAAACCAACTCATGGCTTGCAAAATGAAATTTTACAACAGTGTGTGATAAGATAAGATTCTGAAAGCTTCCAGATAGAAAAAAATAAGTGGTTGACATGCAATAGCTCATGGATAAGAACAGATCAGACTTTTCAAAAGCAACACTGGAGCTAGAAGACAGTACCTTCAAAATTCTGAAGAATTATTTCTAACTTGTAAAACCCTGAGTTCACCTGGGGTACCATTCACCCAAGAATACAATGAGAAGTTTTGCTCCTTGGGGTTCTGCAGTATAATGATTTGACTATGCCCTTTTTGATATAACCATTGGAGGATGCTCCACCAAGATGAGGGAGTAAACCATGAAAGAGGAAGACAGGGGAGAAGGAACAGAAAGACAGCACAGGAGAGGGGCAGAGAAATTCTCAGGCTGCTGGTACAGGGAGACTCCAAGATGGTAGCTGGGTTTAAAGACGACCAGTCAGATTGGGGCAGGCCAGAAGGTCCCATGGCCCACTTCTTTGAGGAAGTTATTTTGGACTGAATGTTAGTTTCTTCCCAAAATTCATGTGTTGGATTCCTAACCACTAATGTGATATACAATGATATAACTGAGCATTTAATGGTTAAGATGGTTAAAAAATTCAAGCAAAAAGTTTCAAAAGGGAATTCACACCTAGAAGGGTGGCAGCAATAATAGTAATGATAATAATAATAATAATAATAATTAATAATAAACCAACAAGTGTTGGTGAGGATGTGAAGAAACTAGAACCCTCCTACATTGCAGGTGGAACTGTAAAATGGTATAGTTACCGTGGAAAACAGTTTGACAGTTCCTCAAAAAGTTAACCACAATCACCTATGATTCAGAATTCTGCTCCTAGACACATACCCAAAAGAATTGAAATAAGGACTCAAACAGATATTTGTACACCATGTTTTTTTTTTTCCTGGCACTGCGGTTTGAATTCAGGTCCTCACACTTGCTAGGCAGACACTCTACCCCTTGAGCCACTCCACCCACCCTGTATACCATGTTCATAGCTGCATTATTCACGATAGCCAAAAGGTGGCAACAACCCACATGTCATCATCAGACAAACAGATCAAGAAAATGTGGTATTCCTCCAGGCTCTGGTGCTCCTATCTGAGATTGGGAGGATCCTGGTTCAAGGCCCATCCTGGAGAAATAGTTTGTGAGACCCCCCCAGCTCCAAAATAACCAGAGCAAAAATGGACTGGAGGTGTGGCTCAAGTGTTAGAGTACCTGCTTTGCAAGAACAAAGCCCTGAGTTCAAACTCCAGTCCCAGCAAAAAGCAAACAAGCAAAAAACCTGGTATATTTATCTAATTTCCATTAGATAATAATATTAAGCCATAAAAAGAAATAAAATTCTGATATATGGATGAGCCTTGAAAACAATATGTTAAGTGAAATAAGCTGGAGACCAAGGGACAAATACTATATGAAATACCTACAATGGGCAAATCGATAGAGATGGGAGTAGAATGAAGGTTATGGGGGGAGAAGGGGTATAGAGCTTCTGTTAAGGAAGATGAAAGAACTTTGCAAACACACTGGTGATAGGTGCACACTGTGAATGTACTTTATGCATTTTTTTTCCTGTGTACTGTGTAGCACAGGCTGGTCTTGAACTTGAGATCCTCCAGCTTTGGTCTCCTGTGCCAGTGGTGCTGGGCTATCGGCATGCACCACCATGCGTGGCTACTTAATGCTATTTTTTGAATTTTTAAAATTCATTTATTCATATTACTTAATGCTATAAATTGAATTAATTGACTACTTAAAATGATTAAAAAGGCAAATGTTATACTATGTATATCTTACCACAATAAAAAATCTTAATAAAGCCCTATGACTGAAGTCTAAAGGACTTCATTAAAATAAAAATATTAAGTGATAGCAAAAAATAAATAAGAATTTAAAACCTAGAGGATCAAGAAAGGACAGACTTAGAAGAGGGCAGGATTTCAAGAGGTATGGGTGGAGGAGGAGAACTTCAGGAGCAAAGCCCCTGCCTCAGGGCTGTGAGGGCTGAATGGGTTATTTCAAGTAGCCTGTGGGACTGAATCCCGGGACTGGGTAGAGAAGCAGCAGAAGATTCCAGGTTGGAAGGCTCTGAGTGCCACAGGAGTTTGTGAGCATTTTCAAGCAGGCAGTGGTAGAATTGGAGCTGTGGTTCTCCAACAGTGTGCAGCAGAGTCACGTGAAGGGCTGCTTACACCACAGGTGCTTGGCTCCATCCCCCGCCCCCAAGTCTCTCACTATTAGGACATGGGGCTGGAGGTGGGGGCTGGCGATGAGGTGAGCAGCTCAATACTGACCCCCCACCTCTCTCTCCTCAGACACCACCACACGACTCCTGCTGGGGGCCATCGCAGTCCTTCTGTTCGCCATCCTGGTGGTGATGAGCATCTTGGGTAAGCACGCATGTCAGCACGAATGCAATGTGGCTCAAACATACCTTGCCCCAAGCATGTCTAACTAGGAAAAGAAAGGTTCCTGACATACCAGGAATTCTGGTGGGGGAACGGGGGCTGGGCAAAGCAATTGAAAACAGAGTGTTGGTTGTCAATGAAATTTTAGCCTAAAATAATATAGTCCGTGTGGGCTTTGCATGGCTCCATTAGCCAGGCAGGTAAGTTGAGGACGTTATGTAGGTATTATTTCGTAAATGCACCTGGGGCAGGTGAGGTGGGTAATGCTTCTTGGAGGAGCATTTCTGATTTGGAGATAAGGGGCTCCAAATATCACATTCATTCAACAAACATTTATTGAGCTCTGCTGTATGTAGGATCTTTGGACAAAGTACTAAGTAATTAAAAAGGTAAGAAAAAGGCGAGTGTGAGTGACATCACCGCCTCTGCCAGGGATAAGTGCAGGCAGAGAGGTCCACGGCCTGGTGACAGAACAAGAGCAGGGAACCCAAGTGCTGGAGTGTGAACAGTAAATAGGAATCCCACCCCTCCCCAGAGGGGTGCAAATTAACCTGACACGGACAGATTAAAGGGAAAAGACACATTTTTTTGATTGGTCTTGAGTTTGAACTCAGGACTTTGCCACACTGCAGTCCATTTTGCTGTAAATGATAAGGAGTGCCTCTTCTTCCCCTGGTTTGGGATGGGGTGTGTGTGTGTACTTTTGGCAAAGGGAAGTTGACGCTCTGCTTTTAGGCAGGTGAGGGGAGGGCAGAGAACTTTTTCCTCATCTGTCCGTTTGCAGTAGCATTCTGCTCCAGATAACCCTTGTACTACAGTGGCTTATTTGGGATGGTATACTGTGACCCCATCAAGGAAACAACGTTCTAAGGGGGGAGGCCTGAGGCGCATGGAGTGCTGTGTGGGACTGAAAACGTAGCAGAAATAAAGCAGGACAGGTGAGCCCTTGCAGAGGGACTCTGGCTTCTCTTGAGGAACTTAAGTCAAAGTGTGTCATGGGTTTGCAGGGTTTGTGAAAGGGATTTTGTGCCTCTGTCTTTAATCTTTGAGCAGTACTGTAAGACGAAGGGCTGACTCCTGAAAAATGGGGGAATGTCTACCACCATTATCAACCCCTACCAAATTCCCCTCTGTGTGACTTGCATGATAAGCAGAGGGGGGCCACGGCAGCCAGCTTGGATGTGACCTAGGGTCATGGCTACAGATTAAATCCCTTTCCTTTGATCCTATTGCTAGGTTGTGGGGGCAATGTCAGGGCGATGTATAAGACATAGCATATCCTGATTTTGGGGAAGAGCAAGAATCTCTCAGGAGATACTGGGAGAAGTGGTTAAACGCATCCTCATCACAGTCAGTGCTCCCAGGTGGACTTGGGTCTCCATGAGTGGGTGTGCCAGGGAGTGTCAACTAATGAATTGGTGTCTGAGTGGCTGCAGGTCTCGGAGAAATACCCTGTAGATCCTTAAATACCGAGGGCGTGTTCTTGGCTCTACATTTTAATCAATCACTTACATGGAAACAAATTTGAAAAAAGAGCGCCTGTGGAATTTGCAGTTGAAGCAATCCAAAGACACAATTCCATATGATCGATGGAGGAAAAAAAAAAATCAAGATTAAAATTTACCTTTCAGATAATGAGCCAAAGTGAATGAGATACATGGGGAAGAAATCGATAGGTTTCTACATGTTGATTTCAAAGGTGACTTACACACGTTCTGGACTTTTGGAGACCTGGTGGGGAAACAGGGCCTATGAGTAAGTGTGGGGGTCCGTTCCTTTGGCAAGGAGGCCCTGGGGAAATTGGATGGCAGCTCCCTCTGCTTTTCCTTCCCGGGAAAGTGTATGTGCACACGCATGTAGAGCTTGCCTACACACTGGAAGCCATGACACCTGGAAGCCAGGACTATGCACTGTCACTGCTGGTAGAGCCCCCACCAGATGTGTCCTGGGCAGTCCTGGTGGCAGTGTTTCAAGGTCATGTGGAGATCGTGCCATGAACAGGCAGGACAAGGAGCAGCCCCTGCAAAGAGACAAGGAGGAAATGATGTCTGCGTGAGCCAGGATGAGGGAGGCTGGGGATCCTCCTTCAATGAGGGGCCAGAAGACAGACTGGTCTGCTCTGGGTCACCCCAGAGGGCAGAGCCTAGACCAGGAGGTAGGTCTAGGTTACAGGACAACAGATTGGGACTCACATTTTGAAAAGAACTTTCAAGTCGCTCAGAGGTGGACAGGACTGCCTTGGTGGAGAGTTTGCTTGCATACTGCAACTGGGTCCCACCCTGGCTGCAGAGAGCAGATGTGAGGGCTTCAGATCCCTTCCCAATCTGAGTTTCTGGAGTTCAATTGGGAGAAAGAGGGGCTTAGCCTAGGGCCTGGCCTGCTGTTACTTCCCTTGTTGGGTACTCTCCCCAGCTTCTCCCTTCTCATTCATTAGTCTCCGACCTTTTGCCTCTAGGCATTGTGACATCAGCAGTGTCTCTGCAGGGTATCAAAGTTGAGGCAGGTGGAGGAAGCCTCGGGAAGCAGAGTGGGATTCTTGGGGGACTTGGTTGTGGCTAGTCACACTGGCAGATGCTGAGACGCCTCCTCCCTGCAGCTTCCAAGGGCTGCATCAAGTGTGAAGCGCCCTGCCCGGAGGACTGGCTGCTCTACGGAAGGAAATGCTACTTCTTCTCCGAGGAGCCGAGAGACTGGAACACGGGCAGGCAGTACTGCCATACCCATGAGGCCGCGCTGGCTGTGATCCAGAGCCAGAAGGAGCTGGTATGTGCACAGGCAAAAGGGAGGGACCCCAGTGACTCATTCTTGACTCTGAAGGGACAGACACACCCCAAGCATGTGTATCTCTAGGGCCACCCAGCCACTGCACAGCCACAGGTGTGCGGTCTGAGCAGGTCCACTTCGGTTCTCAGGGCCTCTCACTTCCATCCAAGGCTGGTTGGCCAAGCTAAACTCAGTGTTGTAAAACATAAAAACATTCTCATTTTCTGTTGATCCAAATCAGAATATTGTCTTTTGTTTAATATTCTGAAGACTTTCCCCGATATAACTGTTAAAGGAACAAGAATGAATAAGTCTCTTGTCATTTTGGGTTTTGAGCCCTCAGTGTGTCTCCAGAACACCAGAGGGTTTACCAATCCTTTCTGTTTGTCATTGACACACAGTATTTCTGCGCAGAAAGTCCCAGAAGTGTGAGGCTAGGACGGCCTACCTGAGTATTGAGATAAATCTATCCAGTGGGCAGTACCCAAGCTCCTTGCCACTCAGGGGTGCTGGTATGCTGGGGCCACTAGGCTTAAGGACACGTCCTCACAGGCTTTGCAGGGCCTTTGTAGGCCCCTGCTTGGGGCTCATTGAGCAGCTCTGACTGAGGTCCCTCGTGACTGCCTGGGAGTCTTAGCCCGGGACTCTTCCTTTCTGGCCACAGAGAGACATCCTCCCAGCGTCTGTCCATTCTGAGCACCAGTATTTTCCAAGCTGAACTTTGTTTTTTTTTTTCTTTTTCTTTTATTATTCATATGTGCATACAAGGCTTGGGTCATTTCTCCCCCCTGCCCCCACCCCCTCCCTTACCACCCACTCCGCCCCCTCCCTCTCCCCCCCCTCAATACCCAGCAGAAACTATTTTGCCCTTATTTCTAATTTTGTTGTAGAGAGAGTATAAGCAATAATAGGAAGGAACAAGGGTTTTTGCTGGTTGAGATAAGGATAGCTATACAGGGCATTGACTCACATTGATTTCCTGTGCGTGGGTGTCACCTTCTAGGTTAATTCTTTTTGATCTCACCTTTTCTCTAGTACCTGTTCCCCCAAGCTGAACTTTGTCTTGGACTTGCATCTGACACCAATGTTTCCCTCTTTGCTTTTTCAGGAATTTATGTTCAAGTTCACAAGGAGGGAGCCCTGGATTGGCCTGCGTAGAGTTGGGGACGAATTCCACTGGGTCAACGGGGACCCGTTTGACCCGGACACGTGAGCTGAGGCTTCATCTTCTAGAAGGCCACTGAGCTGAGGCAGGGGAGGGCCTAAGCGTCAGACCCAGCTCTCAGAGAGAGAAGCACTTGTGTAAAGCTGGAGATACTAGTCTGTAGGGACAGTGGAATGTAGTCATTAGAACTTTGTGGTGTCAGGGCCCAGGCTGTCTCTGTGACTTCCTCATCTGCGAAGAATGGCCTCCATATCCCATTCAGCTAGTGAGGGAACGGGGAAGGGGGCAGGCATGTTCTGGACATCTCCACCCGATTGGCTAGAACTTAGTTACATGACCACAGCTGGCTGCAAGGGAGGGTGGGAGTGGAGTGGTCCTCCTGACCAAGTATGGGCCACTATGGGAAAAGTTGCCCGCTAGCATTCTGGGCCACACTTTCTCAGGGAAAGTGCCTTCTCATGGAGGAGCACCGTGGGGTGGGGTGGTATTTGTATGGCCCAAGCGTATGGATGTGTGTGGTGCCAGGCGTGGTGTGTGGTGTGAGGGTGGCAGGGGGTGGCTGTGGCAGTGCAGTGGTGATAGCGTAAGTATGTGGGGGATAGGGTAGGGTAGGTTTAGGGACATGCAGGATGTGCCTGCAGGGCGAGGAGAACCTTGCTGCTAGTTCAGACCCATGGGTACAGGGATGGGTCCTGGGGTGCCAGCCAGGACAGGGCACAGCCACTAACCTGAGGATGATGGCACATGAATGTCCCTAAGGCAGGAGCTAAAGGAGAAGGGCACAGAGACCTCAGATGTTCCTGGGGGCCACAGCTGGCGATGAGAGGCCCCTACCTGAGGCTGGCTCAGGACAGTCAGTACCGCCTGCACTGAGGACAAGGATCTGTGGGCAGCTCCTCTCCTCTTTTGGTTTCACCCCTTTCCTGGTTCTCAGTGCCTCTTCCTTTTTCCCTCCCTTCCCTGCCCCCAGCTCAGAGCTTGCAAGAAGTCCTGCACATTCTGCTTTCCTGGAAACTTCCTGCTCCTGGAACCCAGGAGCAGCCTGGCCTGGGTCATTGAAGTGCTGACTACAAGAGGAGAACCTTGCTCTTGGGGTCCTCCTGATGCCCTCTCAGCTGCCAGGGAGCTGAGATCAGGGAACAAGCCAGGTTTTCTTATAACACACCCAGGTCCACCTGTGGTTTCAGTGAATTCCTGGGCTACACAGCCCCAGCCGTCCAGTATCACTGGGGCTGTTCTGTTGTGGAGTTGACCCTGGATGCAGGAGCAGGATGGAAAGGGCAGGGTGCCTGTGGGGCAGTCTCAGGTGGCTGGAGCACAGGGTGGGGACACAGTGGAAGGCCAAGCTAGAAAGGTGTGCTGGGTTGGTTCTCTTGGACGGTGCTCTCTGGACTGGTATGAGGGAGGGACACCCTGGTGGCTTGTGTGTCAGTCATGAACACCTGGTCTCTTCTCTCCTGGTCACAGATTCAGCATCTCAGGCCCAGGAGAGTGCGTCTTCGTGGAGCCCACCAGGCTGGTGTCAACCGAGTGTCTGATGACCCGGCCCTGGGTGTGCAGCAAGATGGCCTACACATGAGAGGGTTCAGGCCAGAGGCGGCCAAGGGAGACGTCCTCTCCCAGACCTGACCTGCCTCTCATGGGAGTCGCCTGCCCTCTCCAAGGGGAGAGGGTGGACTCTGCCCCTGTCCCCTCTCTCAGACTCTGGAGCTCTGAGGACCTGGTTCCTGTCTCCTTTGTCCCCTCGGCAGGTCCTTTGGCTCAGCAGTTAAATCCCATGTGCTAAGTAGCCTAGCCAACCCTTCCCAGAGGCACGCGCGCACACACGTACACACACAGGCCCTCCTCAACAGCTCACTCTCAGCCGCCCTCACGTCCTTCCCTGGCCCTGTTTGGAACGTTCCTGCCTCACTGCAGCCCTGGTGCTTTGGGGAAGGCTGGGGGCTGACACGGTAAGACTTGGCACAGTAGCCAGCCTCTCCAGGGGCTTCTCTCAGGTTGCTGGGGGAGGTAGGCAGGCAAGGCATCCCCCTCACCTTGGCCAGATCAGCCCAGCCTGGAGACCCCCGTGTCCACTCTTCTTGCCTTCCCAGGGTCCTTGGGCAGGGCCCCTGCTGTGTCTGCGGTGCTGTTGCACCGGTCAGTAACAGAATAAAGACATGACTGGCACCCAGAGAAGTCTGTGGCCATTTGTTCTAGGGTCACAGCTTGGGGGGAAGCAGAGGGTCACAGTCTGCTGCAGCCACCATAAAGATGCACTTTCCCAGTGTGGCAGGTGGTGGCGTGTAGGAACGGAGGATAAAAAAAGAAAACAACACAGTCATTTTTATGGCCTCAGGGCCTTCTTTAACTTCAATAGAGTATTAAATTATTCTTAGTCAAAGCCACTCTGGCTCATCCATTATTATTCAACGCAGCATGACAAATGTTTATTCACACTTACATGTGCCAGACACCATGCCAAGCCCAGAGAATCCATGGTATTATCCCCCAAGGAGCACAGGGAACAGCTTAGAAAGCACTAGAATGTTCTGGAACACTGTGGAAGGATGGTTTATTCTGCCTTGGGGGACGATGGGGTGATGTGAATTCCACCATTAGGCGATGTTCCTGTAAGACTGGATAAAAGTTTTTGAGGGTCTTCTGGCCTTTTCCTGCCTCCCTTGGTCTGCCTGAGGAGGAAGTAGGGCCTGCAGAGGCTCCTGAGTCCCCTGTCCCCCCCAAGTCCCTCTGAGGCCCCTGCACAAGCTGCAGGGGAGCCTGGGCTTCTCCACCCTCCTCCTGGTGCCTGGAGTTGGAGAGCTGTGGATATTAGCTGGGAGCTGAGTGCGTGCATTTGGATTCCGGCCCATTTTCAGAAAATAGTTCAGAGGGAAATCATGCCCTGCTGGGCTCAGCCCTTTTACTGAGCCTACAGTTTTCATAGTAAACTGCCAGCTTGGTGTTGAAAACTTTTCTGCAGGCTGTTATCAAATGGGGGCGGTTTTGTGGCTTCATATTTTGTTTCTATTGGGAAGCCAGTGGTTGTCCTGAGTGTTAAGTGTTAAGAGAAATCAGGGGGACCCCGTCCCTGGCACATGTTGAGAGGCACGATGAAGGACCGAGGTCAGCCGCTGCTGTGTCCTCATGGGTCTAACTCCCCACCTGTGCCCAGTCTTGTCCAGGTGAGTGTCACCAGGGCCCTACCCTCAAAGACAATGGGGCTCAAACCCCTCAGCACACTGCATCCACAGGGCACCTCACTTAATTCTTGTAGCAATGCCCGGGCAGGTAAGGCTGCCACAGGTAAGCAACTATCTTGGTGGACAGGGGGAGGAGTGGGGACCACCAGGGACTCTGAGACCCGTGCCTGCCCTGGCCTGTGGGATCAAGGAAAGTGAACCATTCTCATCTTCTTTCTTTTTTTTTTTTTGGTGGACTGGGGTTGGAACTCAGGGCCTACACGTTGAACCACTCCACCAGTCCTTTTTTGTAATGGGTTTTTTTGAGGTAGAATCTTGCAAACTATTTGCCTGGGCTGGCCTCAATCCCCGATCCTCCTGATCTCTTCCTCCTGAGTAGCCAGGATTATAGGTGTGAACCACCGACACCCGACTTATATTTTATTTCTTATTAAGTATCTGAAGTCTGAAGCAGCCTGAGGCTTTAAGGCCCCTAAGAATTTGTCCTGGGACCATACAACCGTTCTAAGTTAGTTTGGCAAAGAAGGTATCCTGACCTAGGTCATCATGTTTTTAGAATTTTTTTCCCTATTTGTTCCTACCGAGGAAGGAAACACAAGATAAAAACAAAACACAGCCACTTCAGAAATGTTGGAAACCTTTTGAAAGGGTCTAAACCAGCTAGGCCACTGCCTCACCTGTGCATGGGCTGAGCCTCCTCAGGTTATGCGGTCTTGGCTCTCTGCGTTGTGCTATTGGCGATCAGAGGCAAGCACAGCTGTTTCTGACCCCAAGGAAGGGACCTCTCCTTCCCCAGCCCTGCTCCTCACACCCTCTACTCATTTTCCCCTTCAGAGGAGGCAGCCCTGGAGTTAAGAATGTGCTTAGCAGGGCACCCGTGGCTCATGCCTGTAATCCTAGCTACTCAGGAGTCAGAGATCAAGAGGATCGTGGTTCGAAGCTAACCTGGGGAAATAGTTCTTGAGACCTTATCTTGAAAAAACCCACCAGAAAAAAGGACTGGTGGAGTGGCTCAAGGTATAGGCCCTGAGTTAAAATGCCAGTACCACAAAATAAAGAAGAGCATGCTTAACTTAGACCCAAACCCAGGCAGGTCCTCTGGTGTCCACTGGGGAAGGCAGGACCTCTGCAGAGGCCAGAGCACCCAGCATGCCAGCCTCAGGTAGGCTTTGGGGTGACAGGAGATGCCTGGAGAGGGCTTTTGAGGGACTTAGGGACTGGTTTGCTGTTGTCCTAGTGGATTGACTGGCATTTTCTCATCCTCCTCACAACCCTGCAGGGCAGCATCATCTGCCAGTCTAACAGGCAGAGGGCTCAGAGAGATTAGGGTTTCCTCCACAGTATACAGCTGAGAAGTCATTAAGGCAAGATTTGAATCCAGACCCACCCCACAGGGCTCTTAGGAAACTACTTGCGTGACTGGCATGTCCCCTGCCCAGTTGGCCAGGTCTGAGGAGGGAGGGGGCCTGTGTGTGCTGGTGATTGACAAAGGCTACTCGGGAAAGGACATCCACGTGTCTGCAGGCGACCCTTCTTCTGGACGCCTTTGTCTCCCTTGTATGATCTTCCCTATGAATGAGCCATAGAGAGCGTGTGGTCACTTCTCCAGTCCCTGGGGAATGCCTCTTACCCAGCAACAGCCCTCAGTGACCACACCGTTTCCCACACCTCCAGCAAGAAGACTGAGCCTCTTCCATGGCCTGGGCCTATGTGGCTTTGTCGTCTCTGACTTGTGTCCTCTGGTTGCTCCTGTCCTTCGATTATCAGCACGGAGACAGCAGGGACTGTGTGCTCTTGGTCTCTTGTGATGTACAAATGATGGTTATACTGCCCACTAGTGGCTCCCTGGTGTTACTTACCATGAGGTCCTTAGGAGATCCCAGCAGACACAAATACTATGTCTTGACCCTTGAAAAGTATGAGCTAAACAAACCTCTTTACTTTGAAAAGTACTCAGTCTCACGTATCTTGTTATAGTAACAAAAAGTAGACTAGAACATTCTGCTTGTGGCCTTTTGTAAGTCACTGACTTCTCTGCGAAAATCCTGAGGAGGGAAAATTTAATAGATATTGAGGATTAGTTTCTGGGGCTTCTTTGAGTTCCCATTTACCATGCCAGTTAAAGGGGTTGCTCAGTTTGGTGGCTTCTTTCTACCTTTGCTGTGTTTGTCCTCACTAGGTTAGGTCTGGTCTTCCACTTGCCACTCCCCGCCCAGAGGCAAAAGTGAGTACTGATCTCTTCTCCTAGAAAAGGCTTCTCTGTGTCCTTATTTCTGTTTGTTTTTTAACAATATGACTTTTCTTCTGGTGGTACTGGGGTTTGAATGCAGGGCCTCACACTTGCTACCAGCGTCTGGCTAACAACATGACTTTTCTAATTTGTCGTGTTAGAGGAGGAGCAAAGGTTTCTTGCCACTTTTGGTAGTCATACCAGAGGGGACACCTTCTAAACTTTCCTTTGAACTTTGACAAGTTATCTGTCACCTCCCACTCCACCCCCAGCAGAAAATTGGCCAGGGACAGGCTAATTACAGAGGCCACTCCCACTTAAAATTCACTGGCTTCTAGCAGTTTTGGAATTTAATGAAGTCCTATGATCTGGGTAGGTAGCCTGGAGAAATCTCCTTACCTGTCCCTGACTGTCCTCTCCTGAGTTGGGAGGGATCCCTTGGCTCCCTGGTTTTTGCTCTGGCCCTGCCCCCTCTGGGAGGTCCTTCCCTGTGCCCTGTCCCCCATGACTGCCTCTGCAGTGGAGGGCTGGCAGCTCCTGCACGTTACTCTCTGCCCGAGAGCTGGTGACTCTGGTCAGAAGCAAACCGCAAGACGCATTTTCCAAAATATGGCACTAGTTGGGGTTTCTATGGCGATACGGTTTCCTCAAAGGCGCAGTAAACGTTTGATACTTTGATATTTGCAGCCCATCCAAGTGATTTTCTAGACTGACTTCCCGTGATTGCTTAATTTCTTTTTTTTTTTCAAATGACCCCGTCTGTGTCTTCCTCTTATTGTCTTCAAGGCATCAGACATGATATGGAGGGAGGTCACACTTGAGTCTCATTCTTGCTGAGTGCCTACTTAATTTGTTTAACTGAGTTTTATTGGGATTTGTTGCTTAAATAAAATTTTATTTGCTAATCTTTTTTTTTTGGTACTGGCGATGGAACTCAGGGCCTTGCGTTTGCTAGGCAGGAACTCTACCACTTGACCCTGCTTGTAACCTTTTTGCTTTTACTGTGTTTTTCATCTAGGGTCTCATACTTTTACCTGGTTTGGCTTTGGACCATAATCCTCCTACCTCCACCTCTTGAGTAGCTGGGATTACATGTGTGCCTACCACGCCCAGGCTCTTATTTGCTAATCTTGTTACTGACTGAACTTTTTCACACCTTTAGCCTTTCACATTTTGAGTTTGATCTCGTTTTTTGGTTTCTGTTTGCAAATAGACTCACCGTTTCTTAAGCTCATGTCTTGTAAAGTCTTGCTGAAGGGAGCCAGCACTGGCTAACATCCTCTGCGTTCGGACTCTCCTTTCCCTTCCCTCAGAGCCAAGGAGTCAGTTGGAAAGTGGTTTACTAAAATGCGGCATGGCCCATCTTTCCAGCCCCTGAAACCCGTTTCTCTATTTCTCTGTCCACTGACATGTATTCAGTGCCATGTATTTCATTTTAGATTTTTATTGCAGAAGTACCTCACATTCAGAAACCAGTTTCCACATTAGAATAGGCTAATTGCTGTAATAAAAAGCCCTCCTCCCCAATTCAGTGGCTTACACGTAATAAAAAGCTTCGTTTCTCACTCGTTTGTGGTTTTACTGGGAGGCCTGAAGTCATTTGGGGACCCAGATTTCTTCTCTCCTTTGGCCCCACAATTTTTGGGGGCCTCAGAATCCTTCTCTGGATCTTCCACATCTGGCCAGAACTGTG